GGGCGGGGAAGGGGCAGCCGGGACACCTTGCTGAGAGGCGGATGACCTGGGGTGATTCCAGCTCAGGCCACAACCTGGAGTGGCAGGTGCCCTCATCTGCAAACCTAAGAGTCTGAACTGGAGCCTCACCGAGGCCAGCCTTCCTTAGGCTGGGACACTCAGATGTCTCTGGAAGCCTGCTGGTCCTCACCGCAGGCTAGGCTGAGGCCGGGGCTGAGCAGATGGGGGAGGCTGAGCCCCCTGTGGTGGCGGAAACACCCAGTGCCCCCACATGCGACAGCCCAGAGTACTGTGGTCACTCAGCAGGGATGTGTGTGAGCTGGACTTGGAGCCAGGCCAGGGGGGCTCCTGGATCCTGGGACGGAGGTGCCACCAGGTACTACTCCACCCCTCCCCCAAGGAGCACCGAGGACCCCTCAGCAAAGACGGGCGGACTTGGAGTGCCTAGGAAGCAGGCCCAGCAGCTGACCCCGAGTGGCCCACAGCCTTTGCCGGGCTCCAGGCCTCAGGGGAGATCATGGATCGGGGACACAGACATCTGGGAGTGAGGGAGGACAGGAGGGGGAGCCCCAGGGCGAGGAATGACAGCGGGGTCTGCATCCCGAGTGGGGCAGGGGACATCCGTGGCGACAAGCAGGACCCAGCTTAGGGCCGTGGGGCCACCTACCAGGGCAGGCTCCCGTTCCCAGCCGGACCTGATGCCCTTCCTGCGACATCTCCGCCCCAGCCCCCCCACGGCACCTCTCTCTCCCTCATTCCTCTGGGAGTCGGTCAGGGCTTGAATGACACCCCAGATGACTCTTTGCTATTAATTCCCACACACAGAATGGGCCCCTTGTTCTCTGCTCCCGGAGGAATGGCCGTGGCCAAAGCCATCCCAAGAGTTCCTAATTTAACCCTTCTCCTGGCTGCTCCTATGCGCGTCCCGCACCCAGGGCCAAGGGGCCAGAGGGGGTGGGGCGCAGAGAGGAGTCTGGGAGGGACAGGGGCTCCCTGCAGCCCAGAGCTCCTGGAATAAAGTTCCCAAGGCGGAAGAGCAGGACCACCCCAACCTGCCACGAGCCTGACCACAGCTCCCACCTGAGTTCTCAGCCAGACCCTGGCCCCCGGAAGGCCTCTACAGGGGACCACGGGAGGCCCAGCGTCCACAGCCTCCCCAGGGCTGACCTGATGTCTCTGACCCCCAGGGGCCCCTTCAAGGGACAGGTGGAGGCTGAGGCCCTGGCCCTGGCCCTGGCCCTGGCCCTGGCCCTGAGGGGGTTAACATGGGCTGGAGGCAGGACACCACCTGTCAGGGCAGGTCTCTGAAGAGAGGTGAGGTGGCCTGGCCTCTTCTGATCGGAGGAGGAATTGCTCTGTTTAGTAAAAGCCCATCACCCCTCTCCCTTCCCCCCGCCCACCTCCCTCCTGCCACAGGCTGGAAGGAAAGGCCAACGTAGACAATGAGAGTGGGAAAGCTTCAGAGGCCATTTGGACAGCCTCTCACCGCCAGACGGGGGGAAACCGAGACCCAGGGAAGGGGAGAACGTGGCCCTCCCCACTCTGCAAGTCAGTGACACATCCCAGCACCCATGTCCCTGGCTTCTGGACCAAGACGTTTTCTCCTTCCCCGTCCCCTCTACTTCCACCTCCCACCCTCTCCCTGCCTTCACCCAGCTCTGCCTGGCTTGGCTCTCTGGGTGCTGGAGAGCTCCCAGAGGAAGGGGACAAACACCTGTTCTGCCATCACGATCAGCAAACTTTGCCTCTTGCCCCAGGATAAGGTACAAACCCTCCAGTCCCTGACTCAGTGAGGACTGTGCCCCAGGAAGGCGCCAACTCATCCTCCCGCCCCATCTCCTGTCCACCCACCCCCAGCAGACACATTGTCGCAGGAGCACAGGTGGCTGGAGGAGGGGGCAGGGGACAGTGGCAGTTAAGCTGGAAACGGGAAGAGGGAGATGCAGTGCTGGGCACAGGCATGAGGGAGGATCAGGGTGCCCAGAGCATGCAGGTGGACGAGGCCAGGTGGCCTGGGGAGAAGCGAGCTGGAAGGTGGGCTGGCGCCAGGTGTGGAGAACTGCAGGGCAGGGGCTCCGTGCCTGCAGCCCCAAGAGCGGCTTTGCCATCGTTTGCATAAAACTCAGTGTCCCTGAATTGTCACCTCTACCCAGCTCTCATTTCCCCAGGGCCCTTCACACCAGGCCACCTCCCCATGTCTCCAGGAGACAGAGGCGAGCCCAATGAGAGATGGCATGGGGCAGAGATGGAGAAACTTGTTGGAGGGGGAGGATGGGAGGGAGGGAGAGAACAAACGCACCAGGGAGAGAAGCAGAGACAGAAATGGAGACCCTGAGAGCAGAGTCAGGAGCCAGGGCAGAGAGGGCCACACAGGGAAGGACACTGAGCGAGGGGAACCAGCTGTGGCCCCTCAGAGAGAGGAGGCATGGACAGAAAGAGGAGGAGGAGGAAACAGTGGAGAGAGAAGGAAATCGAGGTAGAGGCAGAAGTGGAAAAGAAGGAAGAGAGGGAGGGCAGGAGGGGAGGGCGGGAGGCAACTCTGCTGGGACACTCAGGGCCCCTCCCCCCAACAGCACCCTGCTCCCTGTGGCCTGCGGGCCTACTGTGTGCCAGCACCCAGAGGATGTGGCCAATCACTGCAGCCTGTGCCTTCCTGAGCCAGGACACCAGCTGGTGGCCTGCCCAAGGCGTGGGGCCTTCCAGGCTGAAGAGGGGTCCTTAGAGACCATGGCTCCCAATAGCGCCCCAGCAGGTGCCTCATAATCAGGGCTGAGCTTTTAAAAAGACACATTCCCATCCAGATCTGACCACATGGGGCCTAGGAATCGGTATTTACACACTGCCCGGAGAGTTCATGCCCTTTGGGCCGAGGTCTGGGCCACAGGGATGAGGAGGAGGATGGTGGCCAGAGAAGGGCTGTGCCCCACCCGAGGTCACACAGCAATTCCAGGCAGGGCCCAGCCAGGGCTCTTCCTCTTGTGGAGGCTGCGGGGGGCCTGCACAGTGCCCCGCATGCAGAAGGGCTTAGGCGGGCAGTGCCCTCCCCCTTTCCCTCCACCCCTGCAGCCCAAGGCCCAGCCGGCTCTCCAGGGGCTGCCAGGCAGTCACCATCTTGAGAACCAGAAATCAAGTGGGAGAGAGGAAGGGATTTGCCCAGAATGGGATTTCTGCCCCCCTTCCCTGCCCGTCCCCCTCATGCCAAGGCCTGGGGCAGCGAGCCCTCGCCAGGGATGGGGGCGGAGGGTGGGGCGGGAGGGAGGAGGGGAGATCTGGGTGCTTCCTGTCTCCCCCTGCCGCCTCCCTGGGCTCAGGGCTGGGTCGCCTGGGGCAGTGGCATCTGAAGCTGACAGATCTGCCCTGTGCTTCCTGCCTGCTGGGGGAAGGGAAGGAGCTGGCTCCCGCCCTCCATCCCTCCTCGCCTTCCCTGGGTCCTCAGGGGCTTGGCCTCCCACTAAACCCAGCCTGGTCCCTCAGGGGCCCCATGCCAGAAAAAGGAAGAGCACTGGACTGGGAGTCTCGACGCCTGCCTCCACCAGGAAGAGGCTGGAGAGCCTCGTCTCCTCCCTCCTATCACCTCTCCCGGCTTCTCGCCCGGATTCCACACTGGCCATTCATTCACTCACTCGCTCGCTGGCAGCGCCCGTGTGCTAGGCACTTGCTGAACACTGAGGACCCAGCTGCCCCACGAGGCTGACACCCTCGCGGGAGACCCACAGCGCAACCAATCGCCACGGGGCTGTGAAGGAAGGGCCCAGGGCGCTGTCAGACAGAACACGTGACACTGGTGCTCAGGGGAGGCGTCCTGTAGCGGAGCCCTGAGAGGGGACCTACAGGGAGGGGGTGTGAGGGTCCTGCCCCCACAGGCTCACAGGAATGACATGACCCAGGCCGGGGACAGGCCCTCTGGGGAGAGAAGTGGGGAAGGGTTTTCAAAGGGTTATCTCCCTGACCAATGAGGTGCAACAAGCACTTATTGAGCACCTGCTGTATGTTCACATGTCCAACCCTGATCAGCTGGCAAGATGGAAGGCAAAACCAAATGTGGGTTTGTTCCTGTTGAACCCTAAAACCCCAACTCCCTCACTGTACAGATGAGGGAATATGCCCAGAGAGGGTAGCCGACTTCCCTAAGATCACAAAGCAAGTATTGGAGCCTTGGCAGAGCCAGGAGCAGCTCCTCCCTCCGACCTGCCAAAGCGGAGTCAGTGGGACTTCAACTAGGGCTCCAAGTCCAAAACAGGAAATATTCCAACTCTGATGTCTCAGCTTGCACCGGGCAGGGAGGTGCGACAAATACAAAATACCTGTCCACAGGGAAGTAGGCCCAGCCCAAGGTGGCCGGGCAAGGTGAGGCCCTCAGCCTGGCACCTCACAGATGTCACACTTCCTGTGTGACCCAAGGCCCCTTGACATGTGAACACACCCACAGCTGTGCCTGGGTCCCTTGCTGTGATCTCAGTAAGCTCAACTCTAAAGCTCAACTCTCCTCCCCTAAAGGGAGGAGCCAGGAGTTCAAGTCTAGCCCAGGCAACATAGTGAAACTCCTGTCTCTAAAAAAATTTTAAGGCTGGACGCGGTGGCTCACACCTATAATCCTAGCACTCTGGGAGGCTGAGGTGGGAGGATCGCTCAAGGTCAGGAGTTCGAGACCAGCCTGAGCAAGAGCAAGATCCCATCTCTGCAAGACCCCATCTCTACTAAAAATAGAAAGAAATTAATTGGCCAACTAAAAATATATAGAAAAAAAAGTTAGCCGGGCATGGTGGCGCATGCCTGTAGTCCCAGCTAAGCAGGAGGCCGAGGCAAGAGGATCGCTTGAGCCCAGGAGTTTGACGTTGCTGTGAGCTAGGCTGACGCCATGGCACTCTAGCCCAGGGAACAGAGTGAAACTTTGTCTCATAAATAAATAAATAAATAAAAGGGAAGGAGATTTCTGGAGGTGTATATCCAAGACATGATTACACCCAAGACATTACCTCCCCCTCCCAGAAAATGTTGGGTGTTACTGACAGGTGAAATGACAGAAGGACACAACTGCATCCTGTGTCTATCCCAGGTGCTATGCTGAGCACTTGCCATTCCTAATTTTACTTTGTGACATTTCAGGTATTGCTAGGCTGGAATTGTTATCTCATTTCACAGACTGAGGCTAGGGAAAATTTCGTAACTTGGCCCAATCCCACCACCATTAAGCCAGGCAAGGGCCAGCCTTGAACTCTGGTGTCTCTGGCTCCAGATCTTGGGCACACGGTCACTCAGCTCCCTTTTTCATTATAAAGTGACATCATCAAAGAATAAGGAAACTTTATTGCAGGGGAGGGCCCTACATGCTCACACAAACACTAAAATCCCACCAGATCACCCCATTTTCACTTTCAGGGGACAGAGGTGAGATCAGGAAGGTGGCAGCCTAGGCCCGGTCATGCTCAACGCTGATCCTGGGCCACACCTTGGATAACACAGTAAAGTGACAGGGAATTCAGAGGGAGAAGACCCAGTCCTGTCATCACCTCCCACACCTCCTAAGCTGGGCCACCTTGACAAGGCCCTTCCCCCAAGCTGCAGGCCCCAGCCAGAGGTGGAAGGACAACGGTGCCCATTAGCCACGTGTAGCCCACCCTGCTCAGACCAGGGTGACACCAACAGGCCCATCCAATACCCCACTCCCAACCCCCTCCTCCCCTCCGCCTTCGCCACTGTCTCAACCCGGGTGCGCGCACACATGACAAACTCCCAGCTCATCCACGAGCTCCCTGAAGACCAGGCACACTCCCCCGTCTTCACCCTGCAGACAGTAGAGCCTTGCCTGGGAGGGTCCTCAGGGACCCACGGGGCAAAAAGCACAGCAGAGATGTCCAGTTCCAAGACTAAAGAGTCAGGCGACCTCAGTCACTCACTTCCCTTTCTGCTTGGGTTTAGCGGGATGTCATCCTGTCCTTGCCCTCTCATCCTCCAGGGTTACTGGGAGCAGAAGGGGGAACATCCGGCGATGGCACCTGCATGGGCAGATCCCCCAGATGCTAATGGCAAGAGCTGCCGTTTACTGGGCCCCACCGCGTGCCAGGCACCATCCTGAGTGTTTACGTGCGCTATCTGATTTAACTCTCACCACGACCTGGAAGGGAACTGAGACTCAGAGACCTTCAGCCACCTGCCAAGGACACACAGCTAATAAATGGGGGTGCCAGGGTTCAAACCTGGAGCCATCTGGCTCAGGAGCACTGAGCAGCCTCCGCACCACGCTGCCCAGCCATTCAGTCACTTACATCACTGAGCATGTTCTATGTGCTTGGCACCACAGAGGAGAGTGAGAGGGACCCAGCTCCAGCCACACAGCCTGGCAGGAACAGTGTCCTGCTGGACAGTAAGCAAGGCAGGAGGCAGCGCCTCGGCCACCAGGCCAGGTGTCCAGGCAGCAGGGCTTAGGCCACATGGCAGGGCTGGGGGGAGAGGGCACGGCTGCAGCTTTGGTCAAGGGGGTGGGTGGGGTAGGGATAGGGGTGTAGAGCTGTGTGCTGCATTACGGGGGACTGAGGAGTTGAGGACAGCACACTAAGGGACATCAGAGCTCCTCAGGGACTCCTGAGAGGGAGGAAGAGGGAGGGAGAGAAGAGGAAGCAGGAGGACCCCAGAGTTGGAGGAGAGGAGTTGGAGGGGATGACCAGGACGGAAACTCAGGGGCAAGGAGGTGAGGACTCGGAAGTCATAAGGGACATAGGGACTTGCTGGACAGGAGCTATATTCTATCAGCCCAGTCCTTGTCCCAGGACTGGCATGGAGTAGTCACCCAGTAAATGTCAAATGAGGCTGAACAGAGCTAGAGACCAAGGCAGGGCCACCCCAGGGTATGAGACGTCACATCTTGGGGCCACGGTGCCTCTGAGTCCACCTGAACTGACTGCTTTCTCTCTGGAGCAGGCCAAAACCACCACCCTCAAAAATTCATAATAATAGTAATAAGTTGAGGACTCATATCTTAAACAAAGAGTGTTTCTTAACTGCAGAACTTAGAACTTGTAACACACGAACAGGCCCTGCATCTCTAAAAAGACGTAGCAAGCAGGGTTTCCCAAACATGCTTGCCCACGACACTGTCTTTCAGGAGGTAGCTGTCACTGTTCTAAGGACCACCACAGTGCAAGACGCCACTGGCACTGGCCTCTTGTTCTGAAATATAATTCACGGGCTATCAGATTCGGAAATGCCCTCAGAGATAATCTAGCCTGCTCCTCATTTTACAGATGGGGAAACTAAGGCCCAGGGAGGGAAAAAGGTTGCCAAGGCAACACAGGGCCTCTGCAGCCAGTGGGACTCCACCCAGCCCTTGGGGCTGCAGGGGCCCAGCTCCAGCCACCCGTTCATCTGTGCCAGGTTCCTGGTGTCCTTGCAGGTCTCTCCCAACAAGCCCTGAGCTCCTCAAAGCCAGGGCTGGGCTCTGTCACCTCCTGGCCCAGCTCCTGGCCCGCTGCCCCGCACAGAGCGGACACTCACAGAAGCACAGCAGTCTGGGAGGCGCAGGGCCGACGGCAGGAAGGGCTTTGCAGCAGCTGGGTGTAGACGACAAGAACAGGTAGTCTCTTCTGAAGGCTTCTAAGAAGGGGGCAGAGGCCGGGCGCCCGAGGCAGAGCTGGGCACTGGCCCCAGCTTCCTGGTTCCCGGAGAGGGTGGGGTTGAGAGGGAAGGAAGGTTCAGGCCCCAGGAACTGCCTCGCTGGCCAGGGTCTGGGACCCTCAGCTTGGGCGAGAAGCAGGAAGGGGAGAGAGCCCCTGTTGGGACAGGCCCTGGAATGCCATCCTCTTCCCCTAGGGTTCAGGCCCTCCACCTCCAGGAAGCCCCTCCTGCCTGCTCCAGCCTCCCTGCTCTTTTCTTCCTTGGAACTGTGACAGCAGCTCAACTCGGGGAACATGAGCCAAGGTCCAGCGTGGCCCTGCCCTCAGGGGCTCCCAGCAGGAGGTGAGACTGGCCTGTGCAGCAAGAAGGCGACACACATGCAAAGGCGCCTTCTCCTTCTCCAGAACAGAGAAAGTAACAGAGGAGAAGATGCCAACCAAGGCCACCAGAAGTGTGTCCCTGAGGAGGGGCTCTCAGCTGGGCTGCAAGCAGGGAGCAGTGGCCACCAGGCACAGAGGGAGGGACAACACTCCAGGGGGAGGCAGAGCCAGCGCCAGGCCCAGTGAGGGAGGATAAGGAGGCCACAGGCCTGTGGCTGTGCCTGGATATCGGGGCCACAGAGCAAAGTGGCCAGACGCTGGGCTGGGGGGTACACCACAGGTCCCAAGCCATACCCTACCACCACAGGCTGGATGAGCTAGCATTGCTGAATGGCTGTGCCTTAGCTTCCCTCCTAGAATGAGAATAACAACACCACCTGCTCATTGGGTTGTTGGGAGGACGAAGTCAAATGCCAGGAGCCCTGAGAGCTGAGCCAGGCCCTCTGGGGCGCCCTCACTGGTAAGGGGGCGCTGCAGGGGAGGCCATGGGGGAGGAGCTTGTCACACACCACCCTGCTCTGATGCTGGGATTCAACAGGCAGATTATAAACCCCTGAAGGTGAGGCCACAGGGCTGCTCAGTAAACACTGGTGCACTTGACCTGAACTGGGTGCTGTTCACACCTCCCAGGACTGGCCTCATACCTGAATTATTTTCTCTAACATTTATTGAGCAGTTACTATGCTAGGGGCGCGTGTGTGTGTGTGTGTGTGTGTGTGTGTGTGTGTGTGTGTGTGTTCTTATTTAACTCTCTCATCCACTTGGGGATATAGTGAGCACATAAAAGCATCAACATTTGACACATGCAAAAACCAAGTCCTGAGAGATTAATAGCATAATACACCCAAGGCCACTTGGGTACCAGTGGCAGGATTTCCTGACTCCAGGTCACTTTCCACTACATCCCAGCCTGAGGATGACACAGTGCAGAGGTGGGGGTGGCCTGGAAACTGTTCAGGGGAGCTCCTACACATGCCCCAGTAGACCCACCCAGACTGAGCTAAAACTCCCAGTGTAGTTTCTGTCTGTTTCGACCCTTGACCCCTAACCATGCCCATCAGCCCTCCGCTCCCCCCCCCCAGTACACAGCCCCTCTCCTGCCACACCCTGAAACTCAGCAAAACCTGCAGGCCTGGCCTCCAGCTCTGGGGGCCCAAACCCACTCCCCTCCCACTGGCGAGTCTGGCTCTGGCAGGGGGCCACTCCCAGCCTCCAGGCCCCAGGGACCCCTGTGAGGGAGAGCAAGGCCTCCCAGGGAACTTTGAAACAGATAACCTGTCTGCACCTCATCCCCAGAAATTTAGAATTAACCAGTCTGTCTGAGTCCTAAGGTCTGATCTGGAAAGGAAAACAAAAAAATAATTTAGGATCTGGGCTTCAGTATTTTTTTAACTCCACAGGCAATTCTAAAGGGCAGCAAGAACTAGAGCCAACCCTAGGCAGCTGCCTGAGAGCTCCTGAGGAAGGCAGGATCTCAGCCCCACCCGGACCTGAGGGGTCAGCCTGAGAATCACCGAGCCCAGCCCCAGTCTCGAGCCAGCGCCCCGTGAGAGGCAGGAGGGCGCACAGCCTGGAGAACTGGTGAGAGGACAGCCAGGACCCCCAGGTTGCATCCAGACGGCACTTACAGGTGCTGGGTGCTTTCCCTGCATCCCCTCGTCCCATCTTCAGCACTGTCCTCTGTGTGAGTCAGGAAGAGAGGCTTGTGCTGTGTGGGGAAACTGAGGCTGAGGCAGTGGCTCAACTTGACCAGAACTATCCCTCCCCACTGCATAGCCCTGGCTCTGTGAGCAGCAGATTTCCTGACCTTCATCTCAGTGTGTCCTGGGGAGGGGGACAGGCAGGGAGGAAGTGTGACATCACCCCAAGTGACGGATAAGGGACATGGGCCCCCGGGTGGGGAACCCCAGGTCGAGCCTTCCACAAAGCAGGACCAGTGCCCTAGGGAAGAGGACTCAGGAGCTGAGGGGTTAACAGTCACTGCTGACCCCAGGTGGCTCTGTCAGGCAGTGGCATCAGTGGGCTTCACATGTGACAGACAGATTCCTTGCCCTTCCTCCTCTCAGGACCCATCTTCTGAGTAAACCTGGGACCAGCCATAGCACAGCCAGTCTGGGGCCAGGAAAGCCCTGTTTCTCCTGAAAGGCCCCCTCCGCCCACAGAAGGAAGCTTGGGCCCCTCTCTGCCGGGGCAAAAGCACTCAGGAGAGAAGGCAAGCCCCCCAGACGCCACACCTCGCCATCGACAGGGACAAACTTATCTCAGGACAGATTTGACTGGGGGGCAGGGTAAGGAGGCACGAGCATCCCTGGAGAAGAGTCAGGAATGAGGGGTGAAGGGACCCCTTTCATGCCAAGCCGGGAAAGCAGAGAAGGTGGCATGGGCCCTCCTAGCCGTCAGCCCGGGGCAGAGGCCCAGGTGTCTTCAGCCGGGATCACTCCCCCTCTGCAAACCCCCCACTCTCCAGGGATAAATGTGGGGCTTTCACCCTCCCTGCTGGAGAAAACTGGGTCCCCAAGCCTGGGACGGATGGAGGGATCCCAGTTGCCAGCACGGTGGGGAGGGATGTGTTCACAGCAAGGGACCCCCACAACACACATAGCCCTGGTCCTCTGATAGCCCTTCGCCCACGCCCCTGGAGGCCCACCTGCCTCACCCAGCACCTTGCAGCAGAGAGCCTAGCACAGCACTGAGCAGAAGGCGGTGTCTGCGCAGGGATGCGGGGGGAGAGGGAAGGAGGGAGTGAGGGAGGGCCCCTCTGTCTAGCACAGCTTCTCTGCAGACCCCCACCCCCATCCTGGCACAGCTGGGCCGAGGAGGGTGGGGAGGAGGCAGAGAGCTAGAGGGGACCCCACACCCCACTTCCCAACCTCAGGCCCTCTCCCTCCACAGCCACCCCTCCCTGCCCTAGGGGGTCTCCAGGCAGTCACAGACACAGCCAGGAGCAGGGAGGGCCTTCCCTGGAAGAGGAGGAACCAAGGGGTAGAAGGAGGGATGGGGACCCACCGGGAGAGAGAGGCCGAGGCCAGGCAAGCGGGCAGCGGGCGGGCAGCAGCGGGTGTCGGAGGCGGCTGCAGGGCAGCCGGGACTCCGCTGGCTGGATGCTCGTCCCTCGTCCCTCTGTCCATCCAGGGCGGCTCCTCTCCGGGCGGTTCTGAGGCTGGGCGGGCGCTGTTAAAAAGCTTTTTATGTGTGTGTGTGTTAATCACATGATTGCCGTTCACCTGTATTTCGAACAAAGACAGCTCACTGTTTCAAGGCCCCGAACAAGAGTCTGGGCACAGGGAAGAGAAGGGAGGCGGGGGGAGGAGGGCTGGCAGCGCCGGGGGTGGCGTCGAGGAAAACTGGGGGGAGATTGTCCAAGGCCGGCAAGCGAGAGAAAGAGAAAACCCTTATCAAACTCCTAATTCACTGGGCTCCGAGGCCCCAGACACACTGGCCCGATTGTCTGGCCGGTTGTGTATGTGAGAGCATGTGTGCGTGTGTGTGTGTTCCAATGTCCGCTCCCCCCACCCCCAACATGCTCTGCCTTGTGTGACTACCTCATTGTGTCCTGCCACCCACCCCCACCCCTTGGCCTTTCCCAGGCACCAGGCCTTGCTCCCCAGACCCCTTGCCAGACCCACTCCAGACAGGACCCTGGGCGTGGGCCTGGGGCCTTGCCTAGCTGCTGAGGGACGCAGAACCACACGTGGTCGCCAGCGTGGCCCAGGCTGCGTCTGTCCCTCCACGCACACCCCACCCCTGCCTCCTCACCAAGTGGGGCTGCCTACGGCTGAGAGGAGACCTTTGCAGGACAGGCCTAGGCAGAGGCGAGGCCAGAGACCAGGGGAGGAGGCAGGGAAGAACACTGAGGGGGGAGGGGGCAGCTAGGAGGGAAAAGGAGGCAGGGCAACCCCACCCCTTCTCCAGCTGGGGGAGTGGAGGACTCCGTGACAACCAGGACTGCCAACTAGGATGGGGACTCCTCCACTCTCCCCAAAGAGAGGGTGAGCCCAATGTAAGGCAGTTGTGTCCCAGGAAGGAAGACCTTAGAACACCTCTGGGACCTACTTAAAGAGGACCCCCCCCCCAGGCCCACGCCGGCCTCCTGGGAACTTCAGTCTGTGTCTCCACCTGAGTCAGGCGGTGCCTGCGGGTGCTGGGTATCTGAAGAAAAGGGACCACAGGCTGAGCTGGGGCGGCTGTGCTGAGCCCTCTCTCCTGCTGTACAGGCTGGGGCAGAGAGGGCAAGCTGGGAGGGCAGGAGGCAGGGCCAGGCAGGCGGGCACCGGCGCCCAGCACACAGTAGGCACTCAGCAGCTTTGCTCAAATGAAGCAGCGCAGGCCAGCACCCAGCCAGGTCCCCAAGACCTTTCCCCACTTTACCTCTCTCCCTAGTCCCTGCCAAATGCCCATCCTGCCACCTGAGGCAGAGGTTGGGGGCCCCAGTGGGCCCAATTTTCCTCCAAGCAACAGGTTGTGACCCTGCCCACAGCCCGCTCTTCCTTCCCTGGCCGGACCACCCCACTCCTATGCCTCCCTAAGCCCAGGTTGAGCCCAAGCGAGATGGGCCCAGGCAGCAGGGCAGGGAGCTGGGGGGGCCTGGGCCGGGTGGAGGAGCCCTGAGTGTTGGGGATGAAGGAAAGCGCTGGAGGCTCCACCTTCTGCCCTTCCCTCCCTCCTCTCCCCCTCCCCCCTCTCCCCCTCCTTCCTTCCCCAGCCCTCTGCAGCGGCTCAGTCGTTCAGTCAGTCTCGGGCTGTCCGGCCAGGGTGGTTGGTGGTAAGGATTCAGGCTCCGTCCTAAGGAGGCCGTGGCCTGAGGCTCAGGGCCCCCAGCCCCTCCCTCCCTGCCCACCAGCGTCACCCCCCAGCCCCGAGCTGGACCGCACACCTTGGGACACGGTTTTCCACTTCCTCAGGACGAGCCCCAGGCTGGAGGAGAGGTCCGAGGAGGTGAGTGCGCAGGCTGCTCCTCCCCGGCCTGGCCCAGGCCTGGGACCCTGCTGTGGGGTGGACAGAGGCTGACGCCCCCGCACCAGCGCCACCCGGTCCTCTAGACTCCGTGGGGGCAGACAGAGGGAAGAAGGAAAGGTGAGAGGAAAGGTGGGAAATTCCAGGGGCTGGGATTAGTGCAGAATAAAAAGGGTCCGTTTTTATTCCTATCATCAACAAACCTCCACCCAAAAAAGGAGGTTAAAAAAAAAACAAAAACCCACCCACACCAAGAGACGGTTGGGACCAGGTGGTGGGAAGACGCGGAGGCGGGACGCACCCACCTGGGGTCTGGCATGTGCTCGGCCCCGGGCGGCAGCAGTGGGTTTAGCGGGAGCAGTGAGGGCCGCCACTTCGGGGTTGTGCCCGCTCCCATCCCCGCCGCCCTTGGGCTGCACGGACTGCCGCTCCATCGCGTTCTCCCTTCTGTCCAGGTGGGCGTTGGACTCTTTGCGAGGACCCCGGCGGCGGGCCCGGGGGAGGTGGCCGAGGCGGCAGCGGCCGGGGGCGACATGGCGGAGGAGCAGGACCTGTCGGAGGTGGAGCTGAGCCCCGTGGGCTCCGAGGAGCCCCGCTGCCTGTCCCCAGGTAGCGCGCCCTCGCTGGGGCCCGACGGCGGCGGCGGCGGATCGGGCTTGCGAGCCAGCCCGGGGCCTGGCGAGCTGGGCAAGGTCAAGAAGGAGCAGCAGGACGGTGAGGCAGACGATGACAAGTTCCCGGTGTGCATCCGTGAGGCCGTCAGCCAGGTGCTCAGCGGCTACGACTGGACGCTGGTGCCCATGCCCGTGCGCGTCAACGGCGCCAGCAAGAGCAAGCCGCACGTCAAGCGGCCCATGAACGCCTTCATGGTGTGGGCGCAGGCGGCGCGCAGGAAGCTGGCCGACCAGTACCCGCACCTGCACAACGCCGAGCTCAGCAAGACGCTGGGCAAGCTCTGGAGGTGAGCACCCCGCCGGCCCGCTAGCTGCGGGGCATTCAGGCTAGACAGGGCGGCCCGCCTCCTACCCCCCAGCGCGGGGCCTGCTTGGGCCTTCTGGGGCCAGCCGCCTCCTTGGATGGGGCTGGTAGGCCAGGTGTGGGGCCCGTGCCCACCCTTCCACCACAAGTACTCGCTTAGGGTTCCGAACCTGGAACTGGGAACCGGCAGCAGCCTAGGCCAGGTCTGCCCGCCCGGCGCGGGCGGGAAGGCGCCCCCTTGCGGTCGGAATTCTGCCCGGGCAGGCCGTGGGCCTCCCCAAAGCTTGCTAGGGAGGGCAGGAGGGATGGTGGGGCGCTCCACACCGCGGGCTTCACCAGCTCCTTCCCCACATACACGCACACTCGAGGGCCACTGCCACCGTCTCCAGTGGTCAGGAGGATGCGGGGAAATGCTTGGAAAAGAACTGAAGGCCTGGCTACAGATGCAGGGAAACTGAGGCAGCCAGACAGAGAACTTGGGGGAGGTTCAAGGAAAATAAGGAATTCAGAGGGGAGTCTTTGAAAGAATGAGGGACGGAGAACTGCCCAGGGACAAATGTGTCTGCTGCTGCAGGATCTCATCCTACCCCAGCAGTCTTCTCTGGGCCTTCCTGACCCCACTCTCCCTTGAGTTGTGGGCTTCTTCATCCTCCAGGGCAGGGACACACAGAAAGGGGCCTCCCCTCCTGCCCTGTCCCACAGCCACCAAGCTGGTCTCGTTCTCCTTTCCTCCCTCTCCCAGTTCGGCGCCATCTTCCTTCTCAGGGCCCCACCCAATGTTGAGCAACCTCCTCTCCCCAGCCCCAGAGCTGGAGCTGAGCACCCTGGCGGGGAGGAAACCTTGGCCACCCCTTCGTGCTCTGAATCCCTCAGAGTCCCAGGGTCCTGGGACGAGCCCAAACCTCTGGGGAATACATCCCCCCATGGAGGAAGTCTGCTAAGCCCCAACTCAGGATGTGTGGAGCAGCATGACCCCCTACCCAAGCCCAGGAGTCCAGGGCAGCTGTGAGAACTTGGTCTCCAGGAGATGCGAGCCCACGGAGGTCACCTGATCCCCACTAGACTGCCCAGGAGGCAGGCCCAGAAAGGCAAAGGAACCGCAAAGGTCACATGGCAGTTGGTAGCAGACCCAGGGCCAGAATCCAGGTCTCCTACTCTTCTACCAGAGGCCTTTCCCCATGTTGTCCCTGGCAACAGTGGCCAGTCACCCTTCACTCTAGGGAGAGGTCAGGAGTTCATGGGGGAGGCAGGAAGAAGAGAGCAAGAGCAAGGCGCATCCGGGTTCCGCACAGCTTGGGCTCTGTCGGAGGAGCCTGCCTCCCTCCTGCTGCCCTGCCTTTCACTAGCCCCAGCACAGTGGAGGTTGAGTCTAGAGGGCCAAAGGCTTAGAGTAGTAGAAGGAGCAGGAGGTTCCCCAAGGGATCAAGAGATTCCCATCTAGCCCCCAGCCCGTCCTTGCCATGTGTTTGAAGTGCTGGTGCCCTTCACCACCCCCACAAGCCTTCAGCACCCAGCAGTCCAGCTCTGCCTGAGAGCCAAGGTCACAGCTAGCTCCTCTGCCTAAGGTCCACCCAAGCTAGCTCCTCTGCCTAAGGTCCACCCAGATCTGGGTGGGGCTCGCCCCGGGTCAGCACCTTTGGCACATGAGAAACAGACAAGCAGGAGAGACAGGCAGTGAACAGAGTGTACCCTGGGGACTGAGACCAGACCACAGCTCAAGCCCAAGAGTCAAAGCAGGGACAGACCCCTGTTCTCCCACCATCTCCCATTGCCAAGGGCTTAAGATTGACCCCTCTGTTGTCCCTGACCCATTTCCCCAGGCCCAGAATCCTGGGCCTGGGCTCCCTTCAGAAGGGCTTGTCCCTGGCCACCACTCAAGCTCAGGGGCCAGGGCGATCAGGAAAGCAGGCACTGCTTGCTGAGGACCTGCCCCCACACTGAGAAGGAGCAGAACAATGGTGAGGGTCAAGGGCTATGCCAACAACTATGGCCACCTAGACCCTCCGTGGAAGTCCTGAGGGACATCTGGATGTGGGCTGGGCTGGCCAGTTGCTCCAGGGGCTTCTCCTGAAACCTTCCCAAGCTCCTGCTTAGGGGTGGTTAGATAGGCAGAACTGGAAAATGGGGGTCCTAAAACTGAAAAAAGAAGGACATGCAGAGAGGCTTGGGGGTGCCCCCAGGCATGTGGGGTCACACACGATAGCCCAGGTCCTAAGTGGCCATGTGAGCTCCGACAGCCCCACTAACCTTTGATGTCCATCTGGGGAAGGACCACTGGATGTCGATCACAGGGTGGTGGCTGTGCATTGGTTGACCTGCCTGGAAAGAACCAGAGCCCCAAACCTGGAAAGGGAGTCACAGGCTGGAGCCTCTCCCATGTGGTAGGGCTCACTTGGCCTTTCCTGCCCCAAGTCCCACAGGCCATTCCCCAGGTAAAGTCTTCTTATGCCACTGGCATGGCAGAAGGACAGATATAGCAGCATCAGTGCCCCACCTTGGGAGTCCCCCAGCTGGGGCTTCCAGTTTGGGTGGGGAACCAGCCTACCCTCTCCTCCATCATTGCAAACCTGGGAGACCAGGAGAAAAGAAGTCTGATGGGAACGAGCAAAAGAGCACTGAGTTTGGAGTTAGAGCTGGGGTGAGTGGTAGGCAGGGTAGGTCTGGGGTGAGGGATGCTGAGCAGAGCTGGGGCTGGGGCTGGAGGTGGCCTTAGCTGCCTGCAGCTGGTGAAGGAGGGAGCTGAGCTTAGGACTGGGGTCGGTGGCCATGCGGCAGGATTAGGTTTCTGTCATGGTTAGGCTGCTGCTGGGAACTAGCCTGGGGGGCAACAGTGGGATCCAGTGTTGGATCTTCCCTCCCTGTGGCCCCTGCCGTTTTCTTGCTAATTGCTGGCTGAGCTGGGCAAGGGTACAGGGAAGGGTGGGGTGCAAGAGTGAGCTCAGTGTCCCCAGCCATCCTGGAGCCTCTGCTCTGGCCCCCGCTCCCGCTGCCTGAGCTGCTCCCCCTCTGTGTGGTTGTCCCCCACATCCTCGGGGCCTGCTCCACTCCTCCCCATCTCAGCTGTCAGAGAGGGCGTTGCATCCCACTCCCCAGCTCCCGGAGTCCTACCCTGAGGTCTCCCTCCTGAATGTGTATGCTGAGCCCGATGGAGCCTGGGTTGGAGGGACCCTTGGAGAAGGCTGGGCTAGGGCTGGGGCCAGCGGGGGGAGCAGACAGACAGGAGGCTAAGCTGCAGAGGAATGCTGCCGCCCTAGGAGGTGCCTGGTATGACCACCCCCTCCCAGCCTGGGGAGGGAGGGCTGGCCTTTTGCTGACTGGGGGGAAGAGGGTACCCACTGGGGTGTGAGCGTGGGGCAGCTGGAGAGAGAAGGAGGCCCTCTGGACAGAGGGTCAGGGCTGCTTCCACCAAGACATCCCTCGGTCTTGGACTCTGTGACTCTGGGGACATCCCTCAGCCCCTTGTGCAAGATCCTGCATCCTGCCCTCCTCACCTGGGGCAGCCAAGCCCCGAACACCCGCTCCACCCTCGAACCCTAGCCTGAGGCTGGAGTCAGTGGGCAGGACCACCAGCTTCAGAGCTTTCTCCCTCTGTGGACTAGTCTTGGGGAGTGTCCCAGGGTCTGGGAAAAGATTCTAGCTTCCTCTGCCCTCTGTCACCCCCGGACAAGGATATAGATCTCCCTCAGGAGGCAGCACCTAACACAGAATGAAGAGAACTCACACCCCGCCTCTTAGGTGCACCACACTGGAATTCACAAAATCAGTATTCCAGAGTTGAGGGGCCCACCTCTAGGTCCTCCCACCCAGCCACACGCCCAGGCAGCACTTGGATAGTGACTGTTTCTTAAAGTGCTCCCCTCGCCTTCCGGCCCTAGTGCAAAGCACTTCACACCATTATTTTGGCCAATCCCACCCCCCAGGGAAGCAGATATTATCATCCTCATTTTATTGGTGATGAATTTCAGGCTCAGAGAAGTCACTTGCTCAAGATCACACACACAGCTAGTAAGTAGCAGAGACAGGGCTCCTCTCCCAGCCATGCTGCTTCTGTTTGCACACCTCCACTCCCAGGGAGCTCACCCTCTAACGAGGCAGCCAATTCCACTTGCAGACAGCTTTGACAATAAGAAACTTTATCCTTTCCTGGAACTGGCATCTGCCCCTTGTAACCTCTATTCCTATGTCTAACTCCTCCTCAGGGGCTGCCGGGAGCAGCAGATGACCCCTCTTCTCACCCCCCAGGGGCCGAGAGATCACAGCCCTCATTGGGGCCTTACATCTCCCAGTCCATAACCCACAGGGCACAGCCCCACCCCAGGCCTTGCCCTCCTGTTTTCCAGGACCAACACTCAGAGGGAAGCCAGCCTGGGGCACTCTGGCACTCACGTTGGCCCCTCTGCTGTCCTCTCTCCTGCCCCACCCAGGCTGCTGAACGAAAGTGACAAACGCCCCTTCATTGAGGAGGCCGAGCGGCTCCGGATGCAGCATAAGAAGGATCACCCGGACTACAAGTACCAGCCCAGGCGGAGGAAGAATGGGAAGGCAGCCCAGGGGGAGGCAGAGTGCCCTGGCGGGGAGGCTGAGCAAGGCGGGGCCGCTGCCATCCAGGCCCACTACAAGAGTGCCCACCTGGACCACCGGCACCCGGGAGAGGGCTCTCCAATGTCAGATGGGAACCCTGAGCACCCCTCAGGTGAGTGCTGAGGACACAGCTGGGGCAGGGGAGCCTGGGTGGTAGAGAGAGAAGGCTGGGTGGCATGAGACCCTGGTGCTCCCCACTGCCCGGGCAGGGGGAGGTGCCAGGCTGTGCAGGTGCCTGGGGGGATGGGGCGCAGTGGCCCAGGGAGGTGGGTGGGCAAGATGGTGCTGGCCAAGCCCGACCCAAGGGCACACCACTGCTGGGCAGAGCGGGCAGCTGAGGAGGCTGTGGAGGCCAGGGGGTAAGAAGGGCTGGGGCCATTACAAGGAAAGGCGGGGACAGGACAGTTTTGAGAAATGGAAGGGCAAACGGAAGACAGGAGTCATCGTCTTGTCCCTCGTCCCACTCTGACAGGGCAGACATAGCATGTGACGTTGAGCCATGTGTCATGGATGAAGCCAGACACGAGATGCCTTGTTTATTTCTTATCAATGATAACAGCAGCTAACATTAATTGAGCACCTACTGTGTGCCAGGCACTGTGCTAATTGCCTTATGTACATTAACTAATTCAATCCTCATGAACAGTGGGATGAGGGAGCCAAACCGCTCGGGCCCAGATCTCAGCTATGTGGCGGGTGACTCTCATTTCATTGATGAGGAGACTGAGAGTCACCCACCACACAGCTGACATCTAGGCCAGAGTGGTTTGGCTCCAGGGCCTCTGCTTGGTGCCACAGCTGCCTCCCAGGTATTGCTAACATACAGAGAGTGCTGCACACAGACCGGTACACAGGACTGCTCAGTGAGCAGAGCTCTGCCTTCAGAAGACACATTCTGAGCCCTACTTTGTGCCAGGCACTGGAATAAACACCAGGGTACCAACCAGAGAAGCCCGTGGTCCCTGCCCACAGAGCCCCACAGTCTAGAGAGGGGAGCAGGGATGAAAACAAGTGAGTTAAGTGCAGGAAGAAACAAGTGCACAAGAAGCCCGTGTCAGAGCTAGAGGCAGCATGGCCTCCAGGGAGGACTGGACAGTCCGTCCAGTCAGGTCTTCAGAAACGCCCAAGTCCCCACCAGACTTGTCAAGAAAGGCTTCCAGAAGGAGGCAATGTCTGACCTGCTTGGTATTATCTCTGCTTGACTGGTAAGGAAACCAGTTAAGAGAAGACTGGGGATTTGCCCAGGGACAGAACCAGGATTTGGCAACCCAGGCAGCTCTCTCCAAGTCCGGAGCCCTTGCCAGTGCAGGGCTCAGTGCTGCCTTCTGGTCTGAGGGAGGTGGTGCAGGCCTGCCCTCGAGGAGCGCCTGGTCTGCTAAGGCCACGATATGCTCTCTCTCCAACGGGATGCCTGTTAGCCATCCCTCCCACACACGCACTCTTCGCCTCCAAAGACTCAGGGACACACACACACACACCCCCTAGAAGACCCTGGACCACATGCAGAACCACCTTTTCCAGACATCCTTCCTTGATGAGACTTTCCCCAAAACCCTCAGGGCAGAGGTGGCTTCCTCTGGTCTCCCAAGCCCTTGAATAGCCTGTCTTCACATCACTTCTGACTCTAGGCATGCATAGGGCTCTGGATCTCCCCTGAGACTGATCTTTTGGGGACAGGGACTTGCTTTATTTATGTTTGTATCCCCAGCACCTGGCACTTAGCAGTGCCCCATTTGTTGAATGAATATGTGAATGAGACGTGAACAGACAAAGGTACAAGAGTTAGTTTCCTAAGTGCCCTCGCAAACAAGGAGGGAATCAGCTCAGGAAGAGCAGGACAACAAGCCAAGCGGAGGGCGTCAGGAGGCTGCAGAGCAGGACAGGCTTGGGAGGAGGGGAGGGGCTGGAGGGGACAGGGCACACTGTTTGGGGCCCAGGCAGGGCACAGGCACCGGCAAGCCAGCAAAAGTGAAACCGATGAGTCAAGAGTGAGGAGGGCAGCCGCAGCAGAGGCTTGGGGAGGAGGGTGGGCAGAGCACAGAGGCTAGGGGCCTGACCACCGGGTTCAGCAGCTGGGCAGCCACAGCAGCAGGGAGAATGGAGCTGCAGGGAAGCTGATTCAAGGTAGAACTTGCCAATAGGAAAAGTCTTTAAAAATGAAGCAGGCCTCTCCAGGAGGTGGGGGACAGAAGGTGGAGGCCGGACCCATCCCTAAGATTTAAGAATTTTATAAACAACTAGAAGCCAATCCAAGACCAGTATACAAACAGATGCGACTCATGCTGCCAAAACACGTGAAACTTACAAGGTCAGTGCAGCAATCAGACCTCACCTTCCTGCTGCCTGAAAGTGAACTGTCAGAGTCCTCTTATACCCGCCTGCCTCTGACCTTGTTTCCCCCTCATGCTCTCTCTCTGTCTCTCTCCCACCCAGGCCAGAGCCATGGCCCACCCACACCTCCAACCACCCCAAAGACAGAGCTGCAGTCGGGCAAGGCAGACCCGAAGCGCGATGGGCGCTCCATGGGGGAGGGCGGGAAGCCTCACATCGACTTCGGCAACGTGGACATCGGTGAGATCAGCCACGAGGTAATGTCCAACATGGAGACCTTTGATGTGGCTGAGTTGGACCAGTACCTGCCACCCAACGGGCACCCGGGCCACGTGGGTAGCTACTCAGCAGCTGGCTACGGGCTGGGCAGCGCCCTGGCCGTGGCCAGTGGACACTCTGCCTGGATCTCTAAGCCGCCAGGTGTGGCTCTGCCCACAGTCTCACCACCCGGTGTGGATGCCAAAGCCCAGGTGAAGACAGAGACCGCAGGGCCCCAGGGGCCCCCACACTACACTGACCAGCCGTCCACCTCGCAGATCGCCTACACCTCCCTCAGTCTGCCCCACTATGGCTCAGCCTTCCCCTCCATCTCCCGCCCTCAGTTTGACTACTCTGACCATCAGCCCTCAGGACCCTATTATGGCCACTCGGGCCAGGCCTCTGGCCTCTACTCGGCCTTCTCCTACATGGGGCCCTCACAGCGGCCTCTCTACACGGCCATCTCTGACCCCAGCCCTTCAGGGCCCCAGTCCCACAGCCCCACACACTGGGAGCAGCCGGTGTATACGACACTGTCCCGGCCTTAGAGGGGGTCCTGTCACCACCACCCCCTGCCTGGCCCCTCCTGGGTCCCGAGTCCCTTCCCCCAGCCTGTGTGCCCTGTTCCTCACCCATCTCTGGCCTGGTGGTGGCAGGGGAGGAGGTTGCAGAGGCTGACAGCTGAGGGAAGGCTTTGTCTGGCTCACTGCCCTGATGACCCACCCACCCCATCCAGGCTCCAGCAGCAAAGCCCTGAGCTAACAGGCTGGGCAGAGGAGGAGGTTGACTATTGCCCATAGACTGAAAGATGAGGGGCTGCACCTTTCCCCCCCAGGAATGACCCTCTATCCCAGGACCTGAGGACCCACTCACCCTCCCTGGGGAGGGGAGAAGTGCCCGGGGTTGAATGAGCATTGGAGGCCTTGCTGCTCTTGTGCACTCCTGTTCTCTCTCTCCTGGAGAGTGGGGATCTGCCATGCCCATGCCACCTGTGCCACGGTGCCTAAGAGCCAGGCCACCCAGAGACCTGCACCAGTGCCTGGAGCTGGCTATCTCTGCCACTGGAGGGCTGAGGACAGCTTTGAACAGCCTCGTGGGGAACATGGGCTGTGGGGGCACTCCGTAGTTCTCATCATTTCAATGCCCCCTCCCCGCCTGAATGCAAGAAGGAGTTGGCACAGCAGCCCCCCGATCCAATTCCGTGCCAATAACCTCATTCTTTGTCTAATCGAGAAAGCCCCTTGTCCTCCTCCACTGCAACCTCCCGACCTTGAGGCACATCCCAGGAGGTGAGGCAGGGGCTCCAGGAAAGGATTCAGAGACAATTCACAGAGCCTTCCTCCCTGGGCTCCTGGCCAAGCCCTCTCTCTTTATTAGCCCCGTGGCCCCTGCTCTGTCAGCCGCTGGGCTTCTCAGAGAGTCACAGCTGCTCAGGCCCAAACCCTCGGCTCCAGGAGGAGAGACACAGGGTCAGCACCCAGGCTGCTGGCCACAGGCTGAAGACACTAAAATCCTGACACATACATTCTGCCCTTGCCTTTTGCCCTTTGCCTCCCAGTGGTATCTGAATAAAGTACGTAGCTATATCTGCCCCACTCTCCTGTTCTGCAGCCCCACAATCCACATGTAACTCATTACTGTCCCCTCTTATTTATCTCAGTAGTCCCCTCTCCCCTGTCCTCTCTCCTAGCCACTCCAGCCCCTATTAACTCTGCATTAAGCACTCCACATAATAAAGGTTCCGGTTACCTGCTTGGGGCCTGACCCGGCCTGTCTCTTGGTCTCTTGTCCCTGTATATGGGCTTTCTCAACTGCTTTCTGGAGTAGCTGTGAGTAGAATGCAAAGGAAAGATAATCCAAAGGTCTCTCTCCCTGCTAAGAAAGCGGGGACAATGGAGTGGGTTAGGACAGCTGGCATCTAAGTGACCCGCAGTGGGTCAGTCTGAGTTCAGGGATGGAAGCCTCAGATGGGGGCTTTCCCTGAGTCTAGCTGTGCCCCACAAGGCAGGGGCCCACTCACCCTAACTTGGCTCAGCTGGAACTCACTGGTTACCCAGCAGAGGGGAGTTTGCAAAGAATTCAAGGGACAGGTGTTTCAAAGGGAGGTGGGTCGAGTCTGGCACCTTTTTTGCAGCCAGGGGCCATCCTTTAGGATGTTGGCTGGGCCCTCTTGCCGAACCCCACTACTTGCCACCTCCCCCAGCACACACACACTGGCCCATGCCAGAAGTCAGCAGAGCCTTCCTAGCAGCTGCCTGTGTCCAAGCCTAAACCAAGGATGTCAGACATGCAATTTAATCCTTAAGTGCTTACTCCCTAAGAGCTCCTTCCTCAGCAGAATTCCAGCCTGCACTCAGGGGCCAGGAACCACTCCATCTCACAAGCACGTAACTCCAGGGACAGGGGAAATCTCTTCACCATCTCACTCCACTGATGAACAGCTCTGATGCTTGGAAGTTCTTCCTTAAACCCAGCTCATAATAACAGTGAGAGCTACCATTTACTGAGTGCTCCCTGGTTAACAGCTTTGCCAAGGATTTTATGTCATTCAAGCCAAGGAGGGAGCAGGTCCAATCATTATCCCCACTTTCCAGATGGGGAAACTGCAGCTTTGAGAGATTGATGCTAAGAAGCGCTAGCACCAGAATCTGAACCCAGCTCTGACTCCAAAGCTTCCACTCTTAACCATCTACCCGCCCGTGGTTTACAGGCCCTACTTGCGCTTCTAATCTGGAGTGATGCAGCTCCTTTCCTTCCATCTGGGGTCTCCAGCCCCTTACCACCTAATCAGGACCTGAGGGAGGGGGATGCCAAGAACTAGCCTAGTCCACCCAGGGTGGTCAAACTCCCTCCATCTGGAAGCTGCATCATGCAAGCTCTTCAAGCAACTTCCCCAAAACTACTGGCTTCCATGAAGCTTGGTGGTAAATGAAACCCCTGCTCATTTACACAATATCTGTGGCAAAATTATATCATCCATATACGTATATGTATATCCATATTGTATCATCCATATACGTATATATACATCCATATTGTATATGTTGTTTTTGATGTTTTGCTTTGTTGTAGATAAAAGGAGGAATTGCAATGATCTTTAACAGATTTCACCTTGTTGGATTTGATCCATTTCCCCACCTATATTAAATCTTTTAGAACTAAGCCGTCCTTTGGAGCCTTATGTATCTGCAAACTTGAATATCCTCATTCAAGTTACTAATAAATGTCCAAATAAAAGACACAACCCTGTGTACACCACTAAATAGCTCTCTCCATCATCAATTCTATCATCTCCACTCTTAAAGAGACTGGCTTGGTTCTGAAACTAATTTCATCACCATGGAGTGCTCACTTCTCCAGCAGAGTCTGCCCAATGCCTTGGCAAAAACAAGATTCACTCCTCTCTGGCATTCCCTCACCTTATGGGACTAGTAACCATAAAAAAAAATTAATAAATAAAAAAGGAAACTGATTTATTTGGCAATATTGATTCTTAGAAACCCTATGCTAGTTCCTGGATCCCCTCTAAGTGCTTTCAAATATGTAATAACCTATTGTAGAATTTTGTTAAGGATCAGTCAGTACTAACCTTACATGGCCATAATTTTGACAACCCATCATTTCCCTTTCATTGAAAGGCAGGACTTGTCCATTCCTGGTCTGTTCACAACTCCTGCTGGCAGTGGGATGAGGGACACGGACCTGGCAGGGCAGGGAGGAGGGGCTACATCCAAAAGATGAAACCACCACCTCCAAGACCCTGCATCCGTGAGAATGACATGGCAGGAGGGGAAACGACTCCCGAGAAGTCAGAAGACCTGGACTGTGTGTGTCCCTTAGGTTCTGATGTGTTCGGGCCAGTAGCTCCACTTGTAAAGAGAGAAAGGGCCAAGTGTTTCTGGAGACTCTACCCAAACCCTAAGAAAATACAGAACCAATAGTGGTGACAGGTGATTTTTCATTCCAGAGTAGTCAAAACCCAGACCTGCCTGGCCAGATGAGTAGCAAGGGACTCCCAGAAGAGGAACAGAATGGGAATGGGGAGACGGAGAAAAAGCACCCCTTTTGTCCCATTTCTCTTACACTCTATCCCCTAAGGGTTAACCCCACACACACTCCCCTCCTCCCCGCCCAAACCCCATCTCCCTTTAATCACATCTGATACTGAGCAGCCCAGCAGGGAACAAAGAGACCATTTAGAAAAATGGGGCCAAGAAAGTGACCCCCGCACTCTGGGGCGGCTGCCTGGATGCCAACACAAAGGCGGCATTTCAGAGCTGAAATTTCAGCACCCAACTTGATTAAAGGATTCCACAGGCTTGGAGGAGGGTGGAAAGGGGGTGCGAAGTCCACTGCTGCCTGAATTAACTCTTCTCCACAGACGCCCCTCCCACTCTCATGGATGCTCATCATTCCCGCCCTGTCCTGGCACTCCCGTCCCCAGGGCCCTGCCTCTTGCAGATGACAGGCAAGCCCGGCTCCTCCTCCTCCTGGAAGGGGAGCTGGAGTGGAATGGAGGTCAAAGCTGGAATATTCAGGGAGCCAATTTTCCCCTCTATATCTGTTGGTGTCAGTATACACCCTCTCCCCGTCCCCGAGGAGGGAGGAGCCAATGTGACTAGTCCTACCTCAGGTTGGGTAAGTAGGGTGGAGGAGAGAAGAGGACCCATTAGAAACTAAGGCAGAGGAAGGGGGAGCTCCAGCTCTGACTCAACACCTTGAACCTAGGAGCACCATCGTCCCAGCACCCATCCCAGTCAAGGCCTCGGAGAATCCTGGGCCCACAAAGAAGGAAAAGGACATCTTACAGGGACTGAGAAGAAGAGGGTATGGGTATGACAGACCAGAGAGGTGGGCCACAGAGGTCAGTGTGTGGGCAGTGACCTGGGGAGGAGTGGGGACAGAGCAGCAGGGGCAGGGGTGGGCAGGTGCTTGGTCCCTGCTTCAGCTGCTGACTTGCCTGGCAGAGCTCTGCCTGGGGAGGGTGGGAGATCACTGCACCCCCACGCTTCCTGCTGGGGCACTGCTCCTGAAAGGGGATCCGAGCCCTCGATAAGAGGCTCAAAGCAGGTCCTTAGGAAACAATGGGTGGCTTGATGAGACCTGCTCTGTGATACTCCTGAGAAGGGAGAAGCCCCTGCAGCCAGTCCCCACTGGAAAGGAAATTGGGGGTTTCCATGGCAACTAGCTCCCTGGGCACAAAGACTCGTCTGTCTGCTGGGAAGGCAGCTGAGGTGTCTCCTCTGCCACAGCCTTTGCTCTGGTGGACAGGGAGATGAGGAGGGATGCGGGGGATCCACAGGGGCTAAGGACCACTGGTGCTTCTTAAAGTGCTGATGGCCACAGGGCCACTGGATAGGTGCACACTCCAGGCACAGGGCCATAACAGGGAAGACGCAGGTGGTGGAGTTGCAGACAGCTGGAGGTGGAGGGGCTGGAAAGTTGAATAGTTTATTATTTACAGCTGTCACATAAAATGAGGATGAAAGTGAGCAGGGGTGAGGTCAGGATGACCCCAGCTCAGTCGGTGATGATGAGCTCGTCTACCCCCCAGTCTTCATAGCTCCCATCAGGCAGGTAGCGGCGAATGATGATGGGGATCTTCCGGGCCCTGTGGCAGGAAGAAGTCACAGAATATGAGGGCTGGTGACCCCGGCTCTGTGGCAGAAGGAACAGATTGTATACAGATGCAAAGAAAGCAAAGTCTCAGGAGCAGTCTCTTGGGGCTGACGAGTATACTTTGTAGGAAAGCAATTACAAAAAAAAAAACCAAACATTTCCACATCTCAAGTGTAGGACAAAGGATCTAGATGGGCTATGCCATCTCATGGCTGCAGAGAGGAGGGGAAGAGTGGTGAGACACTGGTAAGGCCCTCAGCAGCAGGGACAGCCAGGAGAGGTCCATGCCTCCCCCTTTGCCTCCTGCTCTTCCCCCCACCTCCCTTCTGGTGGCTGTTCCTACAGGTACAAGCACCACCCTCCTCAGCCAGGGAAGTGGGAGTGCAACCGAGAGCCCCAGAGATGCTTCCCAAGGCTCTGGAGGAGTGGACTATGATCTGGGTGACTTACTTGAGCTCCTTCATGGCGATGAGCAAAGGGTCTGTCTCCCCCTCCAACTCCACCATCACAGGGGCACACATCCTGTAGGAAAAGGGACAAGTATTGGGGAGACTGCCAAGTCAGGGAGAAGAGCAAAGCGGGCAGTGAGAGTGGGGCAGCATGCTGGTCCTCACCTAGAAAGGTCACCTTCTAGGCATGCAGGTGTGGTGGGGAGCAGTGTGCAAGGACACTGCCAGAGACCTCCCCCAGGCCTATGGCAGACTCCTGAGCCCAGCAGCCACAGCAGAGTATCCAGGTGGAAAGGGCAGCATGTGTAAAGGCACACTATTCTGACAGCTCCAATCCAACCCACGAGCCCCACCACAGTGCCCAGCTCCCCTCATTTTCCTTCTCTGTTGTGGCAACACCCCCCGGAAGTCCTGCATTTCCAGCCCAGCCTCTTCCCCAGCCTCCACACAGGGGCCTACGGTCAGGGTGCTCATCTGCTTACAACGCTTCATGATTCCTCGCCGCTACCAGGCCAGAACCCAGTCTGCTCCCTGTTCACCTTTTTAGCACTGTCTCAAGCTACTTCCCTATATATACCCCCCATTCCAGCCATACCAAACTAGTTATGGTTCCCTGGACATACCATGTTGATTCCTTTTTGTGTGCTCTTACAAGTTCTTCCTCTCCCTACAAGCCAGGGAGAGGCTCAAATGTCTCTACCTTGGAAATCATGTGCTAAATGTTTAGTACCCCAACTCATTTTGCATATGCTTTTCTTGGCACCAGTCTAACTGGACTGTAACTACTTGTTTGGAAGTTTTCCACACTGGACCATGAGTTCCTGGTGGCCCAGGATGACAAGTGATTCACACAGGGGCCCACCCCCTAGCACAACACTTGGCCCACAGCAGAGGCTCTAAAAATGAAGGGATGCCAATTCTAGGGTCATCTCCTCTAGGAAGCCACCCTTGATTATTCCAGCTCAAGTTCACACTAATGGATCCAGAATTACTAGCAAAGCGTACAAAAAATACAGGTTCCTGGGTCCTTCTCCTGACCCTCTGAATAGAATCTCTAGTGAAAGGGCCTGAGAATCTGAATTTGCAAAGCTGCCTGGATGATTCTGATAATCAGCTAGTCTGAGAGCTACCTGCTTGCAAATTTTTTTACTAAATATTCTGATTTCTGTTACTCCCCAAAGCCTGAAAATTTCCCCAGGGCAAAGACCAAGTGTTTAACTTTTCCTATATCTCTTCTCAAAAAGTATTTAAACATCATCCAAATATAAAGCTTTTAAAAATGTGGCAAAATGCTTTTCCTGATCCATATTAGGCCTTCTTTCTTTCAAAATATAAATTATTCAAGAGCATTCATTCATCTAGCACCTACTATGTGCACATGATACACAAAGTCAAAGAATGTGCCCTTAAGTAATTTGTCTTTGCACCACGGCCTCTACAAATAAGCACATCAACCATCCAGTTAGGAAGTGGATGTGACAAACAACATCAGCCACCAGGTGGTGCCAATTAATCAGACAAAAACTTCATCCAAACCCTAAGAATTGGTTGTTGAGCACCCACCAAGTGCAGGGTCACAGCCTAGTGCCAGCTATAAGCTGGCTGACAGCTGACAGGGAACCACAAATGGTATCATATCCCTTTATCAGAAGGAGCACTACAGACTGGACCATGTTGGACCAAGCCTTGCACCCTAAGAAAAAACAGCACAATGGACTTATGAGTGGTCTGGACATCAAACTCAAAACCTTTAAGTGCTCCACACTGCCCACCAAATGAACTCCAATCTTCTAAACTTATCACTCAAGGCACCAATGACATGTTTTACAGCCTTCTGCCCCAAGCTATTCGCGATCCCCCACCACAATCACACCTGCCTGCCTCCACCTGAATCTTTCCTTCTACTGTTTCCTGCACCTGGTTACTCAAAAAACCACCTCTCTTTATCTGTCTCCACTGGAGTTCTAATCCTTCACGAAGCTTTCCCAGTCACCCCTGCAATTGCTGCCCTCTCTTTTTTGTACCTTTCACAAAGCATCACTCATGCCTGCCTTGGGCTCTGGGTATCTGCACAGGTCCAACTCCCACCAGAAAACACCTAGAGGACTGGGGACTCCGTGTTTAATCATCTTCATGTGCTCAGCAGCTACTAGCACAGTGTCTTAGTGCTGAAAGACTGTTTAACTTGCATATAAGCAGTCTATTTGTTTGAAAAGTAATTTATGAATTATTCTTCCTACTGGGCCATTTTTAGCCTAGATGAGTATGCCCCATAGAAAGCTCTGCAATGATGGCACTGTCCTGTATCGGTGCTACCCCTTACAGTAACCGGTAGCCATGTGTGCTTACTGAGCATTTGAAATGTGGCCAGTGAGACAAAAACTGAATTTCTAATTTTATTTAAGCTTACTTAATTTAAATGGCCACATGCAGCTAGTGGCTACCATAATTGATGGTGCAGGCCTGGAGAATCCTGACCCCAATGGTACCAAAAGATATCATACTGGGCATGGCCCTAATTCCACCCAGAAGAGCAAGCGGTGCAACCACGCTGATGAGAGGTCTGTTACTAAGGAGTGGGTGAGAACAGTGTGGCCCACCCATAAAACCCTTTATCGAAGGATATACGGTGGTTATCTCTACCCCACTGGAGGAGATAAAAGTCTGATGCTGTTTGAACATGAGGGAGGAGAACATACAGACAGCATCACTGCCCCTCCAGCAAGTAGAGTCCACAAATCTGGCCCCAGCTTTTCTTCCCAGCATAATTTCCACGATTCCCTACTTGAAAAATCCCCCTTCTCCAGACACCCACCATTGCCCAATCCAGCCTGTAGGAAGTTTGGGGTAGGGGCTCCTGTCCTCAGCCTCGTGCTTCCCCAAGGAGGACTTTCCATTAGAATAATGCTAACATTCCTGTCCTCTCTCTGCCCCCTCATTTACTCCTGCAGAGGAGGAAGAGTAGCTTACCTGACAGGTGAACCCGGGGGGAGAAAAGAGCAGGTATCTGTGGCCCAGTCTCTGTAAGAGTCCCTGCTTTCTCAAAGTCACCTGCAGGCAGAGAGGGTGCTTTCCAGTCTATTCTCCACTATGTCCACAACCTCAGCAGGCATCTGAAGGCCAGCACTGCCTGTGGCTAACTAGGTGAATCTGCAATCATTGGACATTTGGATATCCACCTGTCTAAGGGCAACTCCTACATCTTCTTATTCTTCTGAACTTGGGAGAGAAAGAAAAGGCTGCAATGTTTGAATCCCCAGACCACTGCCACTGCTGTGCTGTCCCATCTGACGTGCCCTCTAGCTGGAGGGCCCTCACTCTGCCGGGCTGACCACAGTCTACCTCACATCAAGAACTACCTTAATCCCTTCCTAACTGGCACACAATGGTCTAGGGCTCTGAATTCACACATTTTGCGCTTCACTAACCTCACAAGTAATCATCTAAGTTCTGGTTTATTGTTATTTTTCTCCTGTACTGTTATTTGACTTCTCAGATGTTCCTGTCCTACTTCTATTAGATCACAAGCTCCCTGAGGGCAGGGGTCTAGCACAAAGCCTAACACACAAGGACAGCACTACCTTTGTTTAGAATGTGAAAGCGGGGAGGGGGGGGGGTTGTTTGTCCTGTTTTCAGGTGCCAGACTAGGCAGGATCAGTGGCTCAGGGGCTTGATGTGGCCTGACTGATGAACAAGATAGTGAAGGGACACACACTCACGCGATCTGGAGAGCTCGGGTCCCCAGCACACGGGCTCGCTCATACTTGGTCATGTATGGTGTGGTGATTCGCTTCTGGTTGGCCTGCGGTCGCTCTCCAGAGGGGAGTATCTCCACATTCTCCTGGCCTTCCTAGACGCCAAGAGACAAAAAAGACAAAAAAGAGGGAAAATCTCAGAGGGCATTTTTACGGGTTGAGGGAAGGGTGATGATGACACTGCTACTACTACCATTAATGCTTATAGCATGCCAGGGACCACGCAACTGCTTACTAACACCTCACTGAATCCTCACAATAACTGTATGCAGCAGCGATTATAGTCCCCATTTCAGAGGCCTGGAGTCAGCTAAACTTGGCCAAAGTCTCAGACCCAGTAATAAAGAGGAACTGTGATCAGAATCCCAGAGCCAGCCGCCTTATCCAAAAGACAGCAAGGCAGAAGGCGTGGTGATGGGGCAGTCCCAGAAGGTTGGCCCCAGAAAAGAAGTCCCAAGCACAATGAATCGCAATAAGCAGGAAGCCAGGAACAAGCACTCCATCTTTCAAATTAGGGTGACTGAACCAAAGAGCCAAGTGGCTAGAAAAGTTAGGGTGAAGGCAAGAATAGTTATATATTCACATATTTAACAATTACTTATTAAGCATCTGTTTTGTGCCAGATATTGCAATAGGTGCTCAGCCAGAAAGGGGAGTTTCTGCTCTCAAAGAATTCACTCTAGAGGGGGACACGAAAGAGTAAACAGAACAGAGGGTGCTCTGAAAGAATGCACCACGCAGCACAATTAACAAGAAAGTGGAGACAGCCCACTCACACTCGGAGTTAGGAAGACTGTCAGGGAGGAGACTTGAGCTAATCTAGAAGGATGGGTAGGAGCTGCCAAACCAAGAAGGAAGGGAAGGCCATTCTCAGCAAGCTAAAGAATACATGCAAAGGCACAGAGGAGGAAGAGAACATAATAGGTTTGAACAACTAATTGTGGACCATGATTAGAGCAAAAAGTGAATAGAGGGTTTTAGGCGAGAGAATAAATTCTGTGATAAATAATTAAGCCAACAAATACCCATTGAACACTTACTACATGTCAGACAGTATTCTAAAGTGGTTTAGATAAAGCCGTGAATAAGATAGATAAAAATTATTTCCCCTATAGAGCTTACAGTATAATGAGAAGTGACAGACAATAAACAAAATTAGTAAGTAAAATATGTAAACAGAGAGCTGGGTGCAATGGCACATGCCTCTAGTCCTATTTACTTGGGAGGCTAAAGGTGGAGGATTACTTGAGCTCTGGGTTTGAGGCAACATAGTGAAAATCCATCTTTAACAACAACAAAAAAATCATTCTGGATACTCTGTTGAAATATTCTGTAAGGGCAAGGGCAGAAGCAGAGAGACCACTTAGGAATACCAGTAATAACCAATCTTGTAGGCAGATTAAGAAAGAGGACTCCACTGGCAAACACTCAGGCTGCAAAAAAAGAAAAGAAAAATAAAGAGAACTCTGGAAGAATAACACACAGCAGAGTCTGGAGTAAGACTAAAGGCAGGAAATCTAGTCACACAATTTCTGCACAAATGTGGATGACAAACAACAAGCTCTAGGCCAGGCTGAGACACGAGGAGTGGAGAAACAGAGACAGAGCTGAGCCATATCTAGGAGACAGAATCAATAGACAGGGATACAAAGAGATCAGAAGGATAGAAGAGGAGGCTTCTGCTTCAAGTGAACAGGTATGAGAAAGTGCCATGCAGAGAGAGGAAATCCAAAACAAAGGACTTCAGCTTCCTAGCCTAAAAAAAAATGAGGGATCCCTTTCTCCAGGAGACACAGCATTTCTCCCTCCATCACACAGGACAAGTCCTACTTTATTCCTGAAGCTAGCAACCCACCCACCTAGTTGCCCAAGCCATAAACCTGAGAGTCATCCTTGTCATCTCCCACTTTCACAGCTCCATATCCAATTCACCAAAATACCTCTTTCATCTGCCTTCTCATCACCTACACCACCAGCACCTACGTCCAAGCCATGGGTCTCTCCCCTAGAGGGTGGAGAGAGTCACCTAACTGGTCTCTCTTTCACTCTGGCCCCTCTCCAATTCACTCCTCACTCTTTGAGGACAGAATGCACTTTCTAAAATGTAAATTGGATCATGCCCCTCCTTGGCTCAAAACTTGTCAGTGGCTTCCCTTTAGGCTACAAAATCCTGCCTGATCTGGGCCCTGCTTACCTCTCCAGCTTGATCCCAGGCCACTCTTCCCTTTGCTCCCTAAGGAGCCCCACCCTGTAGAGCACCTGGCACACAATAAACATTCAACACAGGTTTGCTGAATGAAGGAGACAAGCTGGTAAAGATGTTTCACCTCTGTGAACTAACTGCCCCAGAAGCTGCAAGCTGCGGACTGAGCAGACAAAAGCTTTCAGACCCATCTTGTGCAAGGCTACTGCACTACCCAGGACTGGAACACCTCTCACCCTCACTGGGGATGCTTATGGCAGGGGCTCTGTCCACGAACAGCAGGCAGATACATTCAGATAATTATCACCTGCTGGGCTACTTGGCAGCCTGGGCTGCAGAAGTGGGACTTTAAAGTGAATACTGACCTCCTCGGCATTCTCCAAGTCATCTAACCCTTCATCCTCCTCCACATCATCAAAGTCATCGCCATCAAAACTGTACAAGAAGAAATACGTGAGTTAGAGCATCATTTACTAAAATCAAAGAGGACAGAGATCTGTGTCTTACCCGCTATGTAAAAGGAACTCAGTAAATACCTACTTAACAAGTGATTCAAACTTTTGTTCCATTTTACTCCTTCAATCTTTCCCCATCTGGTCCCAGATTTTGCTAGGACTCATTTATCATCACTGTTTCCCTCTCTACTAGATCACTCCCATCAGCATTTAAACACAGTGTTATAGGCCCGGCACGGTGGCTCACACCTGTAATCCTAGCACTCAGGGAGGCTGAGGTGGGAGGGTTGCTTGAGCTCAGGAGTTGGAGACCAGCCCGAGCAAGAGACCCTGTCTCTACTATAAAGAAATTAGCCAGGCCAGGCACGGTGGCTCATGCCTATAATCCTAGCACTCTGGGAGGCCAAGGCAGGAGGATTGCGGGAGGATTGCTCAAGGTCAGGAGTTCGAAATCAGCCTGAGCAAGAGCAAGACCCTGTTTCTACTATAAATAGAAAGTTAATTGGCCGACTAATATATATAGAAAAAAATTAGCCAGGCATGGTGGCACATGCCTGTAGTCCCACCTACTTGGGAGGCTGAGGCAGTTGGATTGCTTGAGCCCAGGAGTTTGAGGTTGCTGTGAACTAAACTGACACCACAGCACTCACTCTAGCCTGGGCAACAAAGTGAGACTCTGTCTCAAAAAATAAAAAAAATAAAAAAATAAAAAAGAACTTAGCCAAACACCTAAAAATAGAAAAAAATTAGCTGGGCATGGTGGCACATGCCTGTAGTCCCAGCTACTTGGGAGGCTGAGACAGGAGGATCCCTTGAGCCCAGGAGTTTGAGGTTGCTGTGAGTTAGGCTGATGCCATGGTACTCTAGCCCAGACAACACAGTGAGACTCTGTCTCTAAAAAAAATAAATAAATAAATAAAATAAACACATTGTTATGTTCCCTTCTTAAAGAAAAAAAACAAAAACCTTAAAACCTTCTCTTTTCCTTCCTCCCCACAGTCCTAATTCCATGATCCCCTTTGGTTTTGTTTGTTTGAGACAGGGTTTCACTCTGTTGCCCAGGCTGGCGTGCAGAGGCATCATGGACAGCTGACTGTAACCTCAAACTCCTGGGCTCCAGTAATCCTGCCTCAGCCTCCTGAGCAGCTAACACTACAGGTACGTACCACCACACCCTGCTAATTTTTATTTTTTGTAGAAGCAGGGTCTCAATATTTTGCCCTCTGATTTAGAACTACAGGCCTCAAGTGCAAGTGATTCTCCCACCTCAGCCTTCCAAAGTGCTAGGATTACAGGCGTGAGCAACCTCACCCAGCCCCATGCTTCCCTTTGGAGCAAAATTTATGAAAGAGCTGTCCATCCTCACTGTCTACAATTCACCTCTTCCCATCCTGCCACCATAATCTCACTCCAATAAGACTTTTACCCCCACAGATCTATCAAAACCACTCTCTTTAAGTTTTTTAATGATCTCCACATTGCTAAATCCAATAGACAATTCTTGTTCTCATTTACCTTGATCAGTGGGCACACTAGGCCACTCCCTCCTGCTCTATTCACTCTCCTCAAGTAATTGCAAGGACATCTCACTCTCTTGGTGTTGTTCCCCCACATCGCTGGCTTCTCCTCTTTCCCCCTAAGCACTCAATGTTGGAATGCTCTAACACTTCGTCATCGGTCATCTCTCCTCTACTGACACTCCTCTGGTGATCCCACCTGTGTCTTAGTTTTGTTTTGTTTTTTATTTGAGACAGAGTCTCACTTTGTTGCCCAGGCTAGAGTGAGTGCCATGGCGTCAGCCTAGCTCCAACCTCAATCTCCTGGGCTCAAGCAATCCTACTGCCTCAGCCTCCCGAGTAGCTGGGACTACAGGCATGTGCCACCATGCCCAGCTAATTTTTTCTATATATATATTAGTTGGCCAATTAATTTCTTTCTATTTATAGTAGAGACGGGGTCTAGCTCTTGCTCAGCTGGTTTCGAACTTCTGACCTCAAGCAAACCACCCACCTCAGCCTCCCAGAGTGCTAGGATTACAGGTGTGAGCCACTGCGCCTGGCCTGTGTCTTAGTTTTGACTAATATGCTTCTGCTGACAACCCCTACTGTTGTGTTTTTTTTTTTTTTTTTTTTACAGTTTTCCTATGTTGCCCCAGGCTGGTTCCAACCAATCATCCCACCTCAGCCTCTCCTGTTACTGGGACTGTAAGACTCCTATGTTTTTATCTTAAGAATAGATTTCTCTACCTAAGAAGCTATTTTAATAAAGAAAAATAAGAGAAAAAATATAATATAAAAAAAAAGATAGAAAAAAAAAGGATAGATTTCTCCTTTGACCGTATTATATCCAATCCACCGGGAAATCTTTTTGGCTGTACTTTTAAACTATTTCCAGAATTCAAAACCACTTTTCACCACCTCTACTGCTATCGCCCTAGTTCAAGCCACTGTCTTCTCTCACCTAGAAGACTGCAACCCTTCCAGACTTTTTACCACCCGGTGAAACTGCACAGACGCTCCTCTGGATAACTTACACACTACATACTTTTCCTACTACAGAAGCTCACATGACCCGCATTATCCGCTTGCTTGTGGGACTGTCCCCTCCTCTAGAAAGTGAGTGCCTGGAGAGCAGGGACTACACCTACTTCACCTCAATATTCCCCTTACAAGTCAGGGACCCGCTCAGTGGAAAGTTTGCTGAAAGACACCCTTTTCATGGAACCTCTCCGGATCCTCGAGCCTGGGCCTGTCTGTGCCCAGCCTCGGGCCCGAGCTACACTCCTGGTTCCGCGCCATTCCCTTCTCCAGCTCCGCCGGCCGCCTCCGGACCCCAGTCCCCTCAGACACTGCCCCCGACGCCAGGTTCCTCAGCCGCCTTCGGCCCAGGCCCCGCCTCACCCGCCCCTTCCGAGGCCCCCGCCAAGACCCCTCCGCTCCCGCACTCACTTGTCCTCGTTGTCTGACATGACACCCTCGCCGTAAGCCCCTGACCCGCGTGAAGACCCGCAAACAGCGCGACTCCGCCTAGCGGGTCACCACGCGAACCCTGCGCAGACGCCCTGTCGCAAAGGAAGTCATTTCCGGGAGGTAGGCGGAAGTGGCAAAGGCGCGCATGCGTGGATCGGCGGGCGCGCGTTACTATGGTAGCCAGAACCGCTAGCGGTCCGGATCGCGCAGGATTTCTGCAGGTCTCTGGCGCGCGTTCCTCGGTAGAGCAGTGGTCGCCGTCTCCCGGAGCCCGCACGCCGCTGTCTATGGGAAGGGGGCACCCAGACGGGCTCTTTAGGGTGAGGTTTCAATTTTGGCATATCTGCAGTGGGTACTACTGTGACCATGGCTATTTTAACACTCCCTTCCTCTCGAGGGGACTTCCTTGCCACGGCGTATCTGCCTGTGTGTAGGGCGGAAGAATTGGGCACTGTCGCTTTATTAACTGGTGGGGTCACGATTCTCTGCGCCCCGCTACCAGACTTTAAGGGGTATGGGTAGTGGGGGGCAGAGATTGGGGCTGGGAGGCAGAGGGTATGTCATTGCCTCTTTCCCTCCTCAGGGCCCTCCCATGGCTTCACAGGAGAGGGCGGAGACGGTGACCAAAGGAACGGGGTTCTGGCGCTGCCCCAAGCCAACCACTTACACCCCCGGGACCTGCGAGCTGCTCAGAGGTCAGTGCGTTAAACTACGCGAGAAGATCGGTGTCCTTTAACTCAGTTCTCCCACTCATGAACTGTGGCTTAGCAGCTGCTGTTTCCTTTTACAGATAAGGAATCTGGGGTTTCAGAAAGGCTCAAGGTGCTTCCTTCCTTTAGTCCTAGGAAAAAAAAAAGAAAGAAAGAAAGGCTCAAGGTGCTACAGCTTGCATGGGGCCAAAAGTCAAAGAATGAAGAGATTTAGAGTAGTTAATTCCTATGTATCTTTTCGATCACACTTTCAGCTTTCCCAAGACCACCACCAGAGTCAGACCAACTGTTGTGTGTCCTCACACTGCCAAATACATTTTCCTTCGTCAGGCTTAGCACACCTATAGTCAGACTTTTAGTTTAGTGTCCCATCTATCCCCCTAGGTCGTAAATTCCATCACGCAGGGATTGTACCTATTTCGGCTCACAGTTGTAGCTCTGGCCCCTCACACATGAATGAACAAGTGTGAATTCATTCATCTATCCAACAAAAAAATTTTAAAGACTACTGTGTGCTTTAGGTATTGTTTTTAGGTGCTAAGGATACAGCAGTGCGGAAAAAAACCAAAAACGTCTTGCTCTCATAGAGCTAATATAGTAGAAGGGTAACAAATAAATAAAATATATAAAACTGAGGTAGTGATGAGTGCTATATAAAGAATGAAAAAGGAAAGGTAAAGAGGGCATTTTCAGTGCAGAATGGACTTAGGAGGTAATGCGATTTTAAATTTCAGTAGGGTGAGATGAAGGCATCTGCCTGCAGCCCAGGAGACCTCATAGAATGCTTTATCTTGCAGTGATGATGAAGGAATCCAAACTGACTAACTTCCAGCAGCGCCACATCATGGACACCATGAAAAGTAAGAGGTAGTCCACAGAGGCTTCCTTGGCAGATGGATTCAGGGCCATATTTTTAATGCTCCTCATTGAAAAGACTTCAATTAAAAGACAAAGGCCGGGCACAGTAGCTCACGCCTGTAATCCTAGCACTCTGGGAGGCCGAGGTGGGAGGATCGCTCAAGCTCAGGAGTTCAAAACCAGCCTGCGCAAGAAAGACCCTGTCTCTACTAAAAATAGAAAGAAATTAATTGGCCAACTAAAAACATATAGAAAAAATTAGCCAGGCATGGTGGCACATGCCTGTAGTCCCAGCTACTTGGGAGGCTGAAGCAGGAGGATCGCTTGAGCCCAGGAGTTTGAGGTTGCTGTGAGCTAGGCTGATGCCATGGCACTGTAGCCCAGGCAACAGAGTGAGACTCTGTCTCAAAATAAAATAAATAAATAAATAAATATAAAAAAGAAAGAAAGAAATTAGCCAAACAACTAAAAATACAAAAAATTAGCCGGGCATGGTAGTACGTGCCTACAGTCCCAGCTACTTGGGAGGCTGAGGCAGGAGGATCACTTGAGCCCAGGAGTTTGAGGTTGCTGTGAGCTAGGCTGATGCCACGGCACTCTAGCCCAGGCAACAGAGTGAGACTGTGTCTCAAAAAATAAATTAATTAAATAAACAAACAAACAAAGACAGGTGAGGCACAGTAGCTCACACCTGTAATCCCAGCACTTTGGGAAAGAAGGTGGGAGAATAGCTTGAAGCCAGGAGTTTGAGACTAGACTGAGCAAGACATGCTGTCTCTACGCAAAAAAGAAAAATTAGCTGGGTTGGTGGTGCATGCCTGTAGTCCCAGCTACTGGGAAGGCTGAGGCAAGAGGATCGCTTTATCCCAGGAGTTTGAGGTAGCAGTGAGCTATGATGATGCCACTGTACTCTAGCCCAGGCAACAGAGCAAGACCCTGACTCAGAAGGAAAAAAAAGGGAATCACATTTCTACAGCTTGCTTCTGGGGCCTTTGCTTCTTTTACCTGGATATGGGTATTGACACAATTAAACCTCCTGCAGTCTGGCTCTAGCCAACCTTCCCAAGGGATCATGGCCCACTTGAGACCCCCTGCCAGCCAAGAGAGTCTCAACACTGTCATCTCTGTAATCTGTCCCTCCCTGTTACAGACTATATGTGTCCTCCAAAGGATATGTATGTTTCTTATTCATAGTTGTATCCACTTATAGCTTAGCTAGCAGAAACAAAGCAATTGGCTGAATTGAAATAGGCAAAGCCTTTCCACAGCTCATAGCTCACCTCTCACCACACGTTCCGTTATTTTTAAGGAAAACAAAAAAGTGAAAGTATAGTAGTCTCCCCCCACTCCCTTATCTGCAGTTTTTGTGTTTTCAGTTACCCTTGGACAACCTAGGTCTGAAAATAGTATAGTATAGTATAATAGTATAATAATATATAATATATATGATATATTATATAATATATAATAGTATAGTATAGTACAATAAGATATTTTTGAGAGAGTGAGAGCACACAGTAATTTAAATTTCATTATAGTATATTGTTATAATTGTTCTATTTTATTAATTGTTGTTAATCTCTTACTGTGCCTAATTTTTTTTATTTTTTTTTATTTTTTGAGACAGAGTCTCACTTTGTTGCCCAGGCTAGAGTGAGTGCCGTGGCATCAGCCTAGCTCCAACCTCAATCTCCTGGGCTCAAGCAATCCTACTGCCTCAGCCTCCCAAGTAGCTGGGACTACAAGCATGTGCCACCATGCCTGGCTAGTTTTTGTATATATTTTTAGTTGGTCCATTAATTTCTATTTTTACTAGACACAGGGTCTCGCTCTTGCTCAGGCTGGTTTCAAACTCCTGACCTCAAGCAATCCGCCCACCTTGGCCTCCCAGAGTGCTAGGATTATAGGCGTGAGCAACCGTGTCTGGCCTGTGCCTAATTTATAAATTAAACTTTATCACAGATATATAGGTATAGGAAGAAACATAGCAGAGGTAGTTCCCCAGGTCATGGACCACCCAACATACAGCATTCCGTACTTACCAGTGGGCTCCCAAGGGTCCCCATAACCATAATTTATAATTAAATAATCAAATTAATAATTCAGGAACTAGTTTCTTCCACACATGTAAACGAACCCACATGGCATAATCCGTTCATTGGCACAGCATCTTTACACTAGCGCTATGCTCATTGTTTATACAGTCAATTACAGCATCACTTTTGTCTTACTTTTTTTTTTTTTTTTTTTTGAGACAGAGTCTCGCTCTGTTGCCTGGGCTAGAGTGCTGTGGCATCAGCCTAGCTTACAGCAACCTCAAAACTCCTGGGCTCGGCCGGGCGTGGTGGCTCACGCCTGTAATCCTAGCTCTCTGGGAGGCCGAGGCGGGCGGATTGCTCGAGGTCAGGAGTTCGAAACCAGCCTGAACAAGAGCGAGACCCCGTCTCTACTATAAATAGAAAGAAATTAATTGGCCAACTAATATATATATAAAAAAATTATCCGGGCATGGTGGCACATGCCTGTAGTCCCAGCTACTTGGGAGGCTGAGGCAGAAGGATTGCTTGAGCCCAGGAGTTTGAGGTTGCTGTGAGCGAGGCTGACGCCATGGCACTCACTCTAGCCTAGGCAACAAAGTGAGACTCTGTCTCAAAAAAAAAACAAAAAAAAAAACTCCTGGGCTCAAGTGATCCTCCTGCCTCAGCCTCCTGAGTAGCTGGGACTACAGGCATGTGCCACCACACCCAGCTAATTTTTTCTATTTTTAGAAGAAATGGGGTCTTGCTTTTGCTTTTGGCTGGTCTAGAACTCCTGACCTCAAGCGATCCTTCCAGAATGCTAGGATTACTGTGAGCCACTGCACCTGGCCAGTATGCTGGATTTCAACAGCAGCCAAAGGGGACCTCCTCTGCTCAAAACCCTCTAATGGCTTCCTACCTCATACAAAGTAAAACCAGGCTTTCCAGGGGCTCCTGTGACCTCTGACGTCTACTCCCCCTGCTCACCCAGTCTCCTTGCTGTCACTTAGACACTTCAGGCATGCTCCCACCTGAGCACCTTTGCTCCAGCTGTTCCCTCTGCCTGGAATGCTGTTAAAAACCCTACAGAGCTGGCCTCCCCACCACTCTGGGGTCTTTTCTCCAATGTTATCCCCTTCATGAGGCCTACCTGGCTGCCCTATTAAAATTGTGAGCCTCACTGTGACATACCCCGTGCTCCAGCCATCTCATGTAGCGCATGGTATGTGACACTTACTTCATCATCCTCTGTATGCCTCCCCCACCAGGAGGGCAGGACTTTGTTGCACTTCCCACTTTCCCCCAGTGTCCAAGGACTGGCTCGAGGTAGATGCCTAGGGCACATTTGCTGATGCATACAGGAGTGGACAGCTCGAAAAGCTAGACAGGGCCAGATCAAAACAGGGGATGGCCTGCTCTAAGCTGGGCTTTAGGGCAGTTGGGAGAAGGAGACCACTGACCAGATAGGTCACATACTTGGCTAGCCTGGGGAGGAGCCTCAGGCATGGCCAAGGCAGGGGGACAGAGAGGAAGAGGCACAGGCATCTGT